CCCCCAATATCTATGGGTTCTCAGCTCAGGGTTCACAGGCTCAAAAACCCAGCCCCACTCGATGTTCTGCTTCCTTGGTGGTATAAGGTCCCTTCTCTCTCCTGTAACCATTTGTAGGATAAGAGGTAAGCTAGGCCACAACCCAGTGAAACACTCTTTACATGGGATCAGGGCTGTGACCTGATTAAGGATATTACATTCTCCTCTAACCCCCTTACAACTGATTGGCTGATCACCTCTTAAGCACTGATTGCATCATTATACAATTGCCAATGTATATCACCACATAACTGCCAAACCACTGAGCATCATAACCCAGCCAAGCTAGCACTTATTTTGAGGGGACACAATTCAATCCACAGTACTTTTCATCAGTACTTCAGATGGAGCCGAACCCACTGTTGTTTTAGTTCACGACGTTTGGAAAGTCCTTAGCCAGGCTGTGTAATGGTTACATGCTGGGCTGCTAACTTCAAGGTCAGCAGATTGAAACCACCAACCTGCCCCTCGGGAGAAAGATGGAGTTTTCTACTCTGTTAAAGACTTACCATCTCAGAAACCCACAGGGGCAGTTCCACCCTGTCCTACGGGGTCATGCACAGTGAGTTGGCATTGAATCGATGGCAGTGTTTGGATTTTTTTGTTTGTTTTTAGCCTTAAAATGCCAGGTAAGACTGAAGAATAGTGGACTACCGCTCCAGCAGAAGGTTCTCACAATAAGAGAGTTGCTGCCAAATGGCTTGGGATTCTTTGCAATTGCTGTGGGAGGAGAGAAATCCTAAAAGTATTCCTCTGTCAGTGTCTTTACAATTTGTACTGACATAAGCTCTTTGGGGATTCTCTCCAAAATTAAGTCTCCATAATTATGTCATCAGGAAAGTAGAAGTGTCATTCTTTGCTCTGACTTTGTGATGTGGTTACAAGTCTGGAAGAGGAAGAGCTAATGATGTCTTGAGCCATCTGCCACTTAGATACCAAAACCTGTTGTTGCAGTGTTCCCATTCGGGCTGTGCTGTTGGTTTATCTATGTCTTAAATTAGGTGTGTAGAGAGTAAATTACATGCCCCTAAGGAATGCATTTTATAGCAAACAGAGTATTATTCCAGAAACTAGTCGTCAGGTTATCTTGGCCTTATACATGCAGCACATCTGGGAATTATTCTCAGGAAAACATTGGATAGACACTCTGACTCGTGGCTTGGACTTTATTTGGCTACTACAAAAGCTAAAAAAAAAAACCACATTATCAAGCTAGAGTATATAATTTATCAAAATTAATTTCATGATAGGATGCTGAAACCTTGATCAGGAGTCTTTATTGATTTTGTAAGATTATCTTAATGCATTATGGTAGACTTTTTTAAACAAATGACATCACAATGTTCCCAATTCCCTTATTACATTAATAACAACTCTGGGTCAGATATTTGCAATAAAATCTCTGTGGTTGAATGTGTACTTTTGTTTTAAGTTGACTTTAGAATTCTCAAGAAGCTCACTTAAAGCAGTTAAAGGCATAGAACTGAGAGCTGGAGAAACTTGGCTTTAATCTTTTAAATCCCATATCCTGGAAGAGTAGGCTCAATGTCCTTATTGTTAACTCTGTTTTTCTTGCTCTGTAAAATAGTTGTGAAGTAAAAAAAGTTGTTACAAAATTAAATAAGATAATTGATGTAAATTGCCTACTGCTGTGGTCCCCCCAAATTTGTGTGCACATTGGAATCTCTTAGTAAGCTTCAAAAAATACAAATTCCTATCTCATCTCAATAGAATGTGATTTAATTAGCCAGGGAGTAAACTGAAGTTTTAACAGTTTTTA